TATATATATATATATATATATATATATATAATTCATTTATTATTATTTATTTATTTATTTATTTATTTATTATTTACTTTATTTAGTTTGCTGAATTTGCAGCTCTGCTAATAACACTTGCATTTAATTGTATGTAAAGAAGCTGGCAACAAAACACATTCAATGCATTATCTCAAAAACATTTAGTCATCAAATATGACAACAAAAAAAAGCTGTATTCTTTCTAAAATCAAAATTTATAAAACAAAAAAAAAATCAAAATGTTCAGGTTTTAGTTTAAACAAATTTGTAAATGTTTAAAGTGTTTATTGTGTCAAAAATATTGACATTGCAAAACAATAGCAGTTATATCATCTGCAGCAGCATCATCATCATCAGCAGCAGCAGCATCAACAACAACAACAATAACAACAACAACATTATTATTGATAATTTGATATTAAAAAATATAAATAATTTGTTACACTTTTAATTGTCTCTTTAATTGCTGATATGTGACTTATCCATGCTGCTGATATCACATTGCTGATTATTCCATGCTGCTGTATTCATTCATATCCATCTACTCACCAGAAACTCATGTTCGGGCTGCTGTTAAATACACTGTATTCTTTTACATTAGTGTTTAGCGTTTATCTTAGATATTTTAGCCTATGTTGAGCATTTGATTAGTGTGAATCTTAGTGTATATTTTAGATCCTTTTATACTGTTCCTTTTTATACTTTATATTTTTGCTATATTTGGGTGTAACTGGGGCCTGGAGTACATAGTTTGGTTCCACTTCATGCACCACATGTGATTCGAATGACAATAAAAAACAAACAAACTTGAACTTGGAAGAGGTGGCACAGAGGTTAAAGGTAGGCATTAGATCAGAAGATCGTTGATCCAACTCCCCAGACTTACAACATAAAAATGTGGGTGGGAAAGGTGAAGCACCCACATCTGCCTCCACCTCATTTACCACACTCTGGGTACTTGAGCAAGGCCCTTAACCCCCACCATCTGCTCAGAAGACTGTGGAAGCTCAGTGGTCTGTGGTTGCGTCACAATGGGCGTCTGGCATAAAAACAAATGCCAAGTCATTGTCCAAGTCAGTTCGCTGTGCTGACCCCTGAAGAAAGAAAGAGACGGGGGGGGTGGGATAAAAAAATAAATACGTAGATAGATAGATAAATGTACATAGAAACATAAACTTTTATTAAACTGTCTGTTCTCTTTCGCTCTCTCTCTGTTGTTTCTCCAGGATCTGCTAGTCGTCGATGTATGCTGGATAATACCGGGGTTGCTTTCTGGGGTCCTCCGAGCTTCGCCAGATGCGTCTCACTTGATTATAGATATTTACGTTTATCTGTAAGTTTCCATTGATCAAAAAAGTCATAATAATCTCT